ATAAAAGCAAGTTTATAACATTAAAAGCCAATCGATCCAATTTAAAGGAATCTAAAGTTTAAACAAATGGTTCTACTATAATAGAAAGTAAGAATGTTAAATTTTTGGGAGTAACACTAGACCATCAACTTAGATTAGAAGAACATATTAAAGTTTTTTGTAAAGAAGCCGGGAAAAAGGTAAACGCTCTAGCCAGGATTGCTTCGTATATGGACGAATCTAAGCGAATTCTTTTAATAAAAACGTTCATATTATCATATTTTAATTATTGTCCTCTTATTTGGATGTTTTGCAGTAGGAAAAGTAATAACCGGATAAACCGGACTCATTAAAGAGCAATAAGAATAGCTCATGGTGATTATGAATCAACGTTTGAACAACTTTAAATAAAGAATAAAACAATAACTTCTCATAAGAAAAGATTACAATATCTTGCGATAGAAATTTACAAAACATTTAACGGTTTGAATCCACCTTTTATGGATGAAATATTTTCCATAAATGAATGCCCATATTACTTAAAAAACTCTCAATTCAAAACAGCGGAACAACATTACAAAATATATGGATTTAATACCGTATCATACAGATGTAGCCAAATATGGAACTCAGCTCAATCGAGTCGTGCAGGAATACTCGTCCCGGTCATATTTAAATGACGGTAAATGAATGCTAAACCACAGTGAAGACTGGCTTTACGATCAAGTATATTTTCATCACATTATCAGGATTTTGTTGAAAAATGTGGATAGTAAGATGGACTTCCTTCCCCTTCAATTCAAAGAGGATTGAGGGTTAAGGTACATTCATTCATTTATATTTTACAAAATTTCATTTATTTCATTTTTTTATAGATATTCTCAGGAGGAATGATGTGAAATGCAGGGTAATGAAGGATGTAAAAAGCTAAAAATTGATCAGATAACAACAAAGTCATAGTTAATAAGCCATTTGCTCAAAAGGACATCAGCGAGCATTTGAGCCGCATGCCCTCGATCGAGGGGCAGTTCATTCTTGCTGCGGGATTTTCACAAAAACAAAAGGATTTCCAGGGATTTTCAGATGAAATAATAAGATTTCGACAAAAATTTTATGAGATTTTTTAAGAGTGATTTGCCCCTCGTCCTCGATGACGTGGTTTATTCCTAAAAATATCAAACAAGCTAATAAAAGAAGTCCTTAACGTACAAAGTAAAGCTATTTTTATGAATCAAACGAAGACAGAAAGGATTCGTGAAAGTGACAGATATATAAAAACTGCCAGAAAAAGAAAATAGGAGTCAACGAGTCTACTTCATTTTAATATCATTAATTTTACCAACAGGTGCGATATATGTAAGGTTGATGACGGGGTGATAATGTTATTACGCCGACTTTTAATTTTTCTAGGGGGAAATAAAATTCCAAATATTGTTTTAAAAAGAGGCTTGTACGGTTAACAAATTGATCGTTTTTCGATAGAGAACATTAATAGCTTAAAGCAGCTTTTTTGATTTGCCGTTGCTTAAACAAGTGGTAAGATCCTGCGATTTTATTGCCTTTCAAAACGTGTTCTGCAAAAAGACGCAGTCATCTTGAAAATTCACAAGGGGATGGTTGCTCAAAGCCCATAATTTCACTCACAAAGTCACATTCAAAAGGCTGATTTTTTATGTTCTATTTAAATTTAACTTTGATATTCTCATAATCATAATTTTAATATTTTTGTTAATTTTTGTTGTACTTGCAAAGGCAGTACATTGTTTAACAGTTTTCACGTTATCATTAACTATCACAGCCTCGTTTTTGTTGAGGTCCACAAAGTAAAAAGGGTTTCCAACTGCTGCGAGAAGCCAAGCAAGAATTTTATAGAAATGTTGGTCTTAAAAGTCTTAAAGTCAATCGAAAGTTCTAGAAGTCATAGAAAACTCTCTTTTGGCTAATTTAAATTCGTGATGACAAATCCATGAAACGGGGGCCGGTCTGAAGACACAACAATCGTGCAAAACATGATACCAGCATGAAAACTTCAAAGGCTACATATGAAAATCTGAAGCTTAAAACGTCATGCCTAGAAAAGAAGGTCCATGACTTACTCCATTTTCTATTTTTAGAACATTGAACTTGGTCCCAGTCCTCAAAATGAAAAATTAACTCGCGAGCAGCTCAATGAACTTATGTCTGCAATCTTTGATATACATGTACAATCTGAAGTTTGAAATGCCATGCCATGCAAATAAGATCCATAAAAAGTCAAATTTTCTATTTCTAGAACAATCAACTTGGTTTCAGTCCTCAAAATGAAAATTTCGCTTGTGAGTGATGTAAGAAGTAAATTTCCGCAAAGTTTGGTATTCATTTCCGATCTAAGGTGTGCAATGTCACGGCAAGAAAATAAGGTCCCTGAAGTACCCCATTATCATTATCTTTTTCAAAACAATTAACTTGGCTCCAGTCCTCAAAATAAAAATGCGATTTGCTAGCGATGTAGCCTGTGTTTCCCGCAATTGGTAATTGTATACTGTACGAATTACGATCTAATACATGAAGAATGTTGCAAAGTCTAGTTAAGACCATCAAATTTCCCCATTTTCATTTGATAATCAAATGCAACCTATAGAAGTTCCATTAACAAGCGCATAAAATATAAACATTCGTATGTATTTTGCTGCCTAAGAACGGAATTAGAACCGAAATTGCCCTAGATTCATTTTTTATAAGTGGGTACTTGGTCCCAAATGCCAAGCTTGATGATGTTTGAACTGACTATTTACTTTTCCAGGTCAACATATTTTCCAATACATTGAAACGGTTCTGTGGCCACCTGTCCATAACGATTGCATTTGCATCTAGAGTAACAATTCCCCGTGCAACTGCATTTAACCAGCTCGTAACGGGCCTTCGATGCTTCAAGTATAAGTGTCGTTTTCGCGTCACTGTCCGTACTACACCATCTGTCACTCGCCATCCATATTCAGCAAAGTCACGAACAGTTTGCCATTGGTTAAAGATTGGCCCTAAAGAGGCCTAAAAGCAAAACGTAAGTTTCTATCAGCTGCACCTGTGTAGGCTTTGCCTATGCAAGAATTTTTAGCTCTTTTGTGATTCTATTACAGGGCACAATGCATTATTGCAAAACGTCTTCACTTCAATCGTAATTGCATATGCAAGTCTTCAAACCAAGTGGCATATAATTTGTTTGTCGTTGGCTACATTACAGTTACACATTTAGAACTTGAAATTGGTGCAGGGCAGTGGTATTGCTCATGTCAGTGGTTTCAGGAAATAATTAGCACTAACAATATTTAACAAGTCCTCCTTGTTGGTGGGAGGCAGGTTTGAAAATGGAGGGAAAATTCAACACCCATAACAAATCATTTTGAAAAAAGGTCTGTTGTTTTGCAAAAGCGTCCCTGAGGCCATGAATCTTCTTCGTGAACAGCATTTTCCTACACTCATCTATTGTTGATGGCCGACAAGTACGATAGAAAAGCAGAATAAACCTCTCAATGGACTGAACATCATCCTTAGTAAGGTCTCTAGCGTTACCCTACGACAGCCCAGATAAATAGAAAATACTTTTATAATGCCAGGGGAAGCTACTAACGCACTAAGTCAAGACAGTAATTTAGTTTCTAGCTACAGCAATAAAATTGCAACATTGATTAGGATACCAAAATGAAAACAGTTTCTGTAATACCAAGGTTTGATTTTCAAAATCCCATCATGTATCCCATTCAAAATCCCATCCAAGAAAGCAAAAGTGTCGAGGCTTATTAAAATGCAAAAAGTGACATGTTAGGGTGGGGGCTTATGAGGTTGGATGTTTTTATTAAAAAAATTTACTTCTAGGTTGGGGGCTTATCTGTTAGGGGGCTTTTACAAGGAGTGGGTGGGCAATTCCATTTTTTTACATACTCACGTTTATATGCACTTGACTTTGTCTGGTATAGGAAACTTGTTATATTTCATGATTTTTTGTACACATTTTCTACGAATCACTCGACAAATATTTCGGTTTGGGAGCCACAAATACTTGATTTAAAAGTATCCGATTACAACATTGCCTGAATTTGACTTTGGAATGGAGGATAAACCAAGTCTTTTCTTGAGATATAATGCAAGGCGAACATTCTATAAAGGGTTGAGAGTGAAGCATATTTTTGTATCTGCTATGGCCTAAAAATCACCTACACTATGACATCACCACAAGGAAAAATCATCCTGTGGAATTAAACCAAACTGGAACTCGTGTGATTCGATCTTTTATAAATTCAAATCAAACAAAATGTCCAGTTCCTTTGTTGATCTCTTAAAAAAAGCTCTTTATATTTCGAACCTCTGTAATTTGAACTTTTCGTAGTTCAATCAATTTTGTCCTTCTCCTCAAAAAATAACCTTTCTAGCTAGATCTTTAGTCCTTCATTGCATTGAATTTTCTTGAAATTGACTTTATTGTAATTGCTGGAGGGTATTTAGCCTAAGTCATTTTTTGGAGATGAAACGACTAAATTGAATTATCTTTGCCTGCACAGTGCCGAGCACTGAAAAAGATAACAGCACTGCCTATTTTTGTGTTGCATTTCTATCAAAAGACTGAATTAGCACTGATGGAATAAGTTAACAAAAAGTATCCTTCTTACAACTTTTGTGCAAGCTGCAATTATATGGATTTAGGCTGTATATAACTGATGTAGGGATAACTGAGGTGAAATAATTCAAAAACCTCACCATGTTAATCGAGCATTTTGTAATTCCAAAATTTTGACAGTGCCCCTGACAGCTCGAATCACACTGAGTTGGCTGTATTAAGAGTCGTCTTTATTCTGTCTTTCAGGTGAAAAAATTGATTTGCCCACAGTCAAGAAGGAGGATTTTCGAAAACATACAAGGTACTCACTTCTTTTTACTTGTTTACTTTTCGAGCACCTTTCCATGCCGATATATGGACAGATGACCTCGAAATCGTAATATCGACGACGGCATTGTGGCCTTGATATAGAAGATAAGAAGGTCGAAACATGAATGATACAAGCACTACCTTTGCTAGCTTGACGTCGACAACCGCAATGTTTGTTTCGCCAACAACAACGGCCAATACGACATTGACTTTCGCCAGGAATAGCGGCAATGCGACGGCTCCGCTCGATATATTCGCTTTAGTTTGCATGTTTCTCCTCTTTGTGATCGGTGTTTGCGGCAACTTGTTTACTATCGCCATTCTTAGGTTCGTAAAGAAAGGGCCTGCGACGGCGTACGACCTAATGCTGATATCACTCAGCGTAAGTGACCTTGTTTGTGTCATTGTTGTGCCTGCGATGTTCGCATACGGAACACTTACAAATTTCCAAAGATGGGATTTCGGAATGGTAGGATGCAAAGTTCTGCTGTCAGTTTTGCCTATCAATGTAACTATTTCGCAATGTATTCTAATGCTCATGTCTGTCGATAGATATCGCGTAATTTCGAAACCATTTGCTCGAAACGGCATTACGAAATCGCGTACGATCGTGTGCGTGATCTCATTTGTGTTCCTTGGGACTCTGCTAGCCGGGCCTAAATTTCACGCATTGGAGCTTCATTCAGTCGAAGGTTCGTCAAAGCAAATGTGTAATCCAGTAGGCCACAAAAACCTCTATACGTTGTCCTACGCTTTTACCATGTTCATTCGCGACATCGTGTCGACAACGATTATAGGGATCACAGGACGCAAGATAGGCACGGCACTAGTCACAAATTCAAACAATCTGGCAAAACATGGCTACATGGGCACGAAAATGGCCAATAGACTTGATCATGTAAACAGCACGCGTCGAATGCTGCGTTTAATGCTGGTTGTTTTCAGCGTCTGCACGATTCCGCTCGATACTTTTCAACTTTGCTTTTACATTGCTTTGCAAGTGGACGGAGCAAGCGTCAACGCGCAAGTTTTCGCGTGGCTTCGCAGTGTTAATACAGTACTGTATCTCTTTCAAACATCGAATGCCGCTGTAAACGTTTTCATCTATGGAGCGCGGCATCGCGACTTTCGTCCGGTTTTGGAGAGGATCGGCGCGGCAAGAAGATCCTTGTTCCATGCAATTTTCTCCTGTGCCAGTGATGGAAATCTTACTCAAAGCCGTCAAAGAGGAAACATATTCGTGCATGTTTCACGACAGCAAACTGTTCCAGGTATGCAGATGGTTGCGCTCAACAACGATGTCGTTTCTCAGCGCGCTTCAAGTCGGTGACTGGCTATGTCGACGATTTTGGAAAAATGATCACCAAATGCTAAATCAGTCACGTGTCACCAAAAGTAAACTTTATTGAATAGTGTTGCCCTAAAAAACGGACTGGAAGTAGAAATAGATTTATTCGTCAAGGCAAAAAGTTTATACTCTCTTCATTTTCTTATGGACTTTCCTTGTGCAGGTAAACACTGCTTGTAATTTTGTTAGTGTTTAATACCTTAAATAGGTTTGAATTGTTAGCAACATATAGTTTGAAATAATAAATCCATATTCAGCCTCCTTGTTTCTCATTTATATGAGTATAAGTTATATAAACAAATTCTATTGTATTGTTATTTATCAAACCCTTTAAGTCTCATATATCGTTAACGTAAGTAAAACCACTTTACCCGTACCAATGTACGTCTTAAAAACTGCGTCGAGGGCTTTAGTATATTTAGCGCTACTGCTTAGATACCTACCTGGCAAGAATTGGTAGATATACCAGCGCGTGAGTTCTCATATGCGCATTAAGTGTACTTTTTAAGACGACGTGCCCATTGCTTGTCGTGCATTTAAATTACTGGAGATTCATTAAGGCTTCGATTGTTTCATTTGTGAGTTGTAGCTCTCTCTATCCTCGTGAGTTAGCTGTTGCATTTGAAAACTGTATCTACTTTATGTTTATGAATATATCAATATGGAAAGGACTTAACTATAAGAAGAACTACATCACAGGCACCATTCATTTTCCATCTCAATATAAATAAAATCCACAAATGCAAACCAAAACTCGACAAGCCCCTTCAACAATCACGGATTACACCAAAATACATTCTCAAACATTAGGTAACACAAACAAATTGCCCAATCCACATAAAAAAGCCTTCTCCACAATCATACTCTGAACCATTCTATTCAATATTCTATTAATCTATAACAAACTCAAATCATTTTCAATCCTTAGCAAAATCACAAACGCAAGTCAAACCTATCCATATCTCATATCAAAATAAAACCTTATTCAACCCGGAACAACACAGCAGCCAATCTCATAGTGTAGCAAACACGAAGGACACTGCAATCTCACAGAAAAGAAAACAGCTGGTTTACATAATAGGTGACTCTATGATTAAAAACCTAGAAGGCCATAGAATGTCAAGAATGAATCTATAAAGACCCGCTCGACGGCTGGAGCGACATCCGAAGATGCTATACACTATGTTAAATCTATCTTAACAAGAAACTCTGATGAAATCATAGTACATTTTGGCACTAACGATATTGCATCAAAATCTAAAACAATAGACAACTAACGGAAAATCATCAACGAAATTCAATAAAACAGTCAGTGTACACGTATGTACATCAGTTCTATCATAATGAGAGGATATAACAATCAAGTGAACAAGGACTACAAGCTATGGCGAGAATATAAACTGGATTATATAAACAACAATAACATTACTATTGATAGCTTGAACGGTAGCAGACTCAATCTAAATAGACAAGGGAACATACTTCTTGTGAGAAACATTATTAATAATCTGCAGCAAACATGACAAGTGGGTACAATAATGCACAGTTGAACCATGATTGAGCCTTCATGCCCTTATAGTCAAAAGCTAATCATTCATTGATAACCCAAGGAGCAAGAAGAGCATGATGAAATTAAAAACAAACAGAGCTCTGTCGATGTAATAGATAGCGCTTTAAATTAAGTAACTAATTTCAGTTCAATAAGAGTAAAAAACCCTAAAAAGACAATTGTAGGGTACCTTAACATAAATTGTATTATGGAACTAATAAAAGGAAAATTAGATATTTCTCTTATCTCAGAAACAAAGATAGACGAATATTTCCCGACATCTGAAGGGTTTAGGAAGCCCTTTAGACGCGACAAAAAATTGGAGCTGGAGGATTACTACTTTATGTGAATGAAAACATTCTAGCTAAAGAATTAAGAAATCTCAACCCAGCAAATGATATTGAAACTTTTTCTGTTGAAGTAAATTTTAAAAAACAAAAATGGATAATTATTGGAATCTATCACCCTCCAAACCAAAATGGCATCTATTTTTTGATGAATTAGGTAAATTGTTGGATTTTTATTCACGAAGCTATGAAAGAATGCTAATACTTGAGGACTTTAATATGGAACCTGGTTCTTCTAGCATAGAAAATTTTATGAAAAACTATGATCTATATAATCTGATGAAAGAGCCAACATCCTCCAAAAGTGATCCGCCAAAATGCTATGACTTGATCTTAACAAACAAGAAATACAGCTATATAAATACAGGTACATATGAGACAGGTTTGTCTGACCAACATGAACTAATCTATACTGTACTAAAAATTGAATTCGTAAAATCTGAACCCACTTCTATTTCATACAGATGCTATAAAACGTTTTCTACCGATAAATTTGACGGGGATCTTCTATTTAATTTAGCTAAAATACCTAAAGAAAATGCAACGTACGACGTTTTTAATCAAGCTCCGAGTTCTATTCTTGATAAACATGCCCCTCCGAAGAAAAATTAGTGAGAGCAAATAATGCACTTTTAATGAATAAAGATATAAGAAAATTGATAATGCCGAGATCTAAGGCAAAAAGAGAGTTCAACAAAAACAAAACAGTCTCTAACAGGGAGGATTACAATTAGTCAGAAATAAATATGTTAAATTAATTAGACGCACTAAAAGAAGTTATTTCGAATATTTAGATGTAAAACTTGTCAAGGATAATAAAAAATTCTGGAAAACTACCAAGCTTTTATCAAACGGTAAAAATGCAAAAGCAAATGAAATCATACTGATAGAGAACGATAGAATCCTGTCTGACAGCAAAATAGTAGCACAAACGTTGAATAATCACTTGTAAATATTACTAAAAGCCTCAATATAGCCCGACCTTTATCTGATAATGTGCAACAGACGTCTGACGAAAGGACAGCCTCGTCACTATTAGATCAATTGAAATGCTTTGAAAACCACCCTAGAATATGAAGAAAAACGTTTGATCAATTTCCTAAGTTTAACTTTGAAAATGTAACTTCCAAGGAGGTAAGAGAGAAAATTTACAACCTAGAGGAAGACGAATCAACAGGAGCCGATAACATCCCCCTTAAAGTTCTTAAAATGGCAATAGGCATTTTCTATGAATCACTAGCTGAAATATTCAATCGATCTCTTTCTAATAAATCCTTTTCCTTTTCTTATGAAAATGGCTAATGTGTGCCCTATTTTCAAAAAAGGAGATTCAACTATTAAAGAGAATTGTAGACCAATAAATGTGCTCCCCTCAGCTTCAAAGGTATTTGAGAGAATAATGTTCAATCAAATCTACAATTACAACATTGTTAAACTGTCCCCTTTGCTTTGTGGATTCTGAAAAGGTTATAGCACACAACATGCTTTAATACGACTTATTGAAGGTCTGAAAAAGTGCCTGGATGAAAAAGATGTGGCTGGTGCAGTGCTTATGGATTTATCAAAAGCATTTGATTGTTTACCCCATATACTTCTACTAGCAAAATTGAAATCTTATGGCTTTAGCGACAACGCAATGGAATTTATGTATAATTATCTAGATAAAAGAGTACAATGAGTAAAAATACCCAAATTTTAGTGATTGGGTGGAAAGAAAGCAAGGAGTTCCTGAAGGATCAGTCTTAGGCCCGTTGCTTTTCAATATTTACATAAATGGTATTTTTCTGCATTTGAACAAAAGCAATTTATGCAACTATGCAGATGATAATACAATTTGGCTGTCAAGTACTGATATGAATGAACCAACTGACGACTTAGAATCGGAAGCCGCTATTCTTAATAAATGGTTTTATGAAAATTGTATGGTGCTCAATGGCGATAAAAGCAAGCTTATAACATTTAAAGCCAATCGATCCAATTAAGAGGAATCTAAAATTCAAATAAATGGTTCTACTATAATAGAAAGTAAGAATGTTAAATTTTTGGGAGTAGCACTAGACCATCAACTTAGATTAGAAGAACATATTAAAGTTTTTTGTAAAGAAGCCGGGAAAAAGGTAAACGCTCTAGCCAGGATTGCTTCGTATATGAACAAATCCAAGCGAATTCTTTTAATAAAAACGTTCATATTATCATATTTTATTTATTGTCCTCTTATTTGGATGTTTTGCAGTAGAAAAAGTAATAACCGGATAAACCGGACTCATTAAAGAGCAATGAGAATAGCTTATGATGACTATGAATCAACTTTTCAACAACTTTTAATAAAGAATAAAACAATAACTTCTCATAAGAAAAGATTACAATATCTTGCGATAGAAATTTACAAAACATTTAACGGTTTGAATCCACCTTTTATGGATGAAATATTTTCCATAAATGAATGCCCATATTACTTAAAAAACTCTCAATTCAAAACAGCGGAACAACATTACAAAATATATGGATTTAATACCGTATCATACAGATGTAGCCAAATATGGAACTCAGCTCAATCGAGTCGTGCAGGAATACTCGTCCCGGTCATATTTAAATGACGGTAAATGAATGCTAAACCACAGTGAAGACTGGCTTTACGATCAAGTATATTTTCATCACATTATCAGGATTTTGTTGAAAAATGTGGATAGTAAGATGGACTTCCTTCCCCTTCAATTCAAAGAGGATTGAGGGTTAAGGTACATTCATTCATTTATATTTTACAAAATTTCATTTATTTCATTTTTTTATAGATATTCTCGGGAGGAATGATGTGAAATGCAGGGTAATGAAGGATTTTTAAAAAGCTAAAAATGGATCAGATAACAACAAAGTCATAGTTAATAAGCCATTTGCTCAAAAGGACATCACAGCGAGCATTTGAGCCGCATGCCCTCGATCGAAGGGCAGTTCATTCTTGCTGCGGGATTTTCACAAAAACAAAAGGATTTCCAGGGATTTTCAGATGAAGCAATAAGATTTCTACAAAAATTGTATGAAATTTTTAAAGAGTGATTTGCCCCTCGTCCTCGATGACGTGGTTTATTCCTAAAAATATCAAACAAGCTAATAAAAGAAGTCCTTAACGTACAAAGTAAAGCTATTTTTATGAATCAAACGAAGACAGAAAGGATTCGTGAAAGTGACAGATATATAAGAACTGCCAGAAATAGAAAATAGGAGTCAACGAGTCTACTTCATTTTAATATCATTAATTTTACCAACAGGTGCGATATATGTAAGGTTGATGACGGGGTGATAATGTTATTACGCCGACTTTTAATTTTTCTAGGGGGAAATAAAATTCCAAATATTGTTTTAAAAAGAGGCTTGTACGGTTAACAAATTGATCGTTTTTCGATAGAGAACATTAATAACTTAAAGCAGCTTTTTCGTTTTGCCGTTGCTTAAACAAGTGGTAAGATCCTGCGATTTTATTGCCTTTCAAAACGTGTTCTGCAAAAAGACGCAGTCATCTTGAAAATTCACAAGGGGATTGTTGCTCAAAGCCCATAATTTCACTCACAAAGTCACCTTCAAAAGGCTGATTTTTTATATGCTACTTAAATTTAACTTTGATATTCTCATAATCATAATTTTAATATTTTTGTTAATTTTTGTTGTACTTGCAAAGGCAGTACATTGTTTAACAGTTTTCACGTTATCGTTAACTATCACAGCCTCGTTTTTGTTGAGGTCCACGAAGTAAAAAGAGTTTCCAACTGCTGCGAGAAGCCAAGCAAGAATTTTATAGAAATGTTGATCTTAAAAGTCTTAAAGTCAATCGAAAGTTCTAGAAGTCATAGAAAACTCTCTTTTGGCTAATTTAAATTCGTGATGACAAAGCCATGAAACGGGGGCCGGTCTGAAGACACAACAATCGTGCAAAACATGATACCAGCATGAAAACTTCAAAGGCTACATATGAAAATCTGAAGCTTAAAACGTCATGCCTAGAAAAGAAGGTCCATGACTTACTCCATTTTCTATTTTTAGAACATTGAACTTGGTCCCAGTCCTCAAAATGAAAAAGTCACTCGCGAGCAACTCAATGAACTTATGTCTGCAAACTTTGATATACATATACATCTGAAGTTTGAAATGCCATGCCATGCAAATAAGATCCATAAAAAGTCGAATTCTCTATTTTTAGAACAATCAACTTGATTCCAGTCCTCAAAATATAAATTTCGCTTGTGAGTGATGTAAGAAGTAAATTTCCGCAAAGTTTGGTATTCATTTCCGATCTAAGGTGTGCAATGTCACGGCAAGAAAATAAGGTCCCTGAAGTACCCCATTATCATTATCTTTTTCAAAACAATTAACTTGGCTTCAGTCCTCAAAATAAAAATGCGATTTGCTAGCGATGTAGCCTGTGTTTCCCGCAATTGGTAATTGTATACTGTACGAATTACGATCTAATACATGAAGAATGTTGCAAAGTCTAGTTAAGACCATCAAATTTCCCCATTTTCATTTGATAATCAAATGCAACCTATAGAAGTTCCATTAACAAGCGCATAAAATATAAACATTCGTATGTATTTTGCTGCCTAAGAACGGAATTAGAACCGAAATTGCCCTAGATTCATTTTTTATAAGTGGGTACTTGGTCCCAAATGCCAAACTTGATGATGTTTGAACTGACTATTTACTTTTCCAGGTCAACATATTTTCCAATACATTGAAACTGTTCTGTGGCCACCTGTCCATAACGCTTGCATTTGCATCTAGAGTAACAATTCCCCGTGCAACTGCATTTAACCAGCTCGTAACGGGCCTTCGATGCTTCAAGTATAAGTGTCGTTTTCGCGTCACTGTCCGTACTACACCATCTGTCACTCGCCATCCATATTCAGCAAAGTCACGAACAGTTTGCCATTGGTTAAAGATTGGCCCTAAAGAGGCCTAAAAGCAAAACGTAAGTTTCTATCAGCTGCACCTGTGTAGGCTTTGCCTATGCAAGAATTTTTAGCTCTTTTGTGATTCTATTACAGGGCACAATGCATTATTGCAAAACGTCTTCACTTCAATCGTAATTGCATATGCAAGTCTTCAAACCAAGTGGCATATAATTTGTTTGTCGTTGGCTACATTACAGTTACACATTTAGAACTTGAAATTGGTGCAGGGCAGTGGTATTGCTCATGTCAGTGGTTTCAGGAAATAATTAGCACTAACAATATTTAACAAGTCCTCCTTGTTGGTGGGAGGCAGGTTTGAAAATGGAGGGAAAATTCAACACCCATAACAAATCATTTTGAAAAAAGGTCTGTTGTTTTGCAAAAGCGTCCCTGAGGCCATGAATCTTCTTCGTGAACAGC